AGTCATTTTGATGACCAGGGTTTGATCACTATCTTTGAAGTGAGTTAAAGGTAATTTGTTTGGGCTGACTGCCCTATCTCCTTTTAGTACTCAGAGAGTTTTTCGGATATCGGTGTTAACATACTATGGAGATGTGTGATGAAGAATACTGAATACAGCCGCTATAGGGCGGCCAAATTGGTTTTCGAAGAGCCTTACTCGTTGTTCCAGGAGTCTTTCAGGTTGTTAATCAGCGTGCCATCTGCCTCATATACCGCCTCACTGACACCACGCCTCTTGATACCTATGGTTTAAAAGAGATGGAATAGCTTTCGACTGGTACCTAATCCATTCGTACGTGTTCGGTTCAACAGGCTTCGCAGTCCTTTTCAGAAACACTACTTGATCTTATGTGTGTGTGCTGGTGCGTCGGTGGCACAGTGGTTAGGACTCTCGCTGACCATGCACATGGTCCGAGGTTCGAGCCCACGCCGACGCACACCTGATATCTATGGTTGTCCTGCGAATTTTGGGCTACCGATATCCACGCCGAAAATTCCATACTTGTACCAAAAATACGGTGTGGAATCAAGCTGTAATCAAAAAATAAAAAAAATAAAAAATAATAAGTAATAGCTTTTCGCAGGTTTCTGTACTCGTTATCCACGAGAAATGACTGACAAGTATGGAAAAGTTGTAAGGGACTAAAGTAAACCCAGTGGTTTCTAGAGGGATGTTCTTTTAGACCACAAACGAAAGAGAACAAAAAGAAGTATGCACGCCAAATTTCAATGTTCGGGATTTACACTTGTGGTGAATATGAACAATCATTTTTGTCTGAAACGCCATTTCAATGTCTGATCTATCAAATAAGCAAACCGATATGGAGTTGCATACTATCGCAGTGCCCGAGTATCAAAAACACTGTGACAGGTGTTAGGCATAAGTGAGTTTCTGCACTCACCAACATTTGATATGTAGAGGTTTGAATGACATAGTTTCGTTAAGCATTTTGTTTTCCCCGAGATCCATTGTTAAATGAATATGAACTCTGGGATGTAAAACGAAACATTTTAGTTTGAACACCTACCCTTTTATGCCTTTTCTCTACACTGTATTTTAATGTAGTACCTACCTGTATGTAGATTAGACCTAAAAAACTACATATTGTTAGGCTGAAAAGTACATTATATCCTATTTTTCTAAAAGGAAGTTTATCCTAAATTGAGAGATAGATTTCCCCAAACCATAACTTTTTATGCGACAATGCTGTTCAGGCTGTTGGACATAGTTATGTATGTAGTTTCTTTAATTTTGTTTTCTTATGTGATTTTCTATGGCCTACCTTTTAAAAATGGTACTTTTTCTCGATACAGTTAAGGACGATATTGGGAAGTAGTTAACCTAGTCTGAACTGCGTAAAAAAATGAGACTATTAGGATGGCGTCGGTCGACGGCTTTAGTTCATGGCTAGATTCAATGGCCCAAAATCGTTTGTGTCGCCTCTGAAACATCCCCTTTAACTGTGGTCTAAGAATGCTACTTTATTTCCTCACTTGTGTTATTTTTCTTTTATCAGGTATCACTTCACAAAGTTTTTAAAAATCTATATCACAGGGGTATTTTCCATAAAGTTTCATTTGATGATGTATATTCTTGTGTCTTCATTACTCATTCTTCCCCTTTTACTTTCACGTTGATATTTAGGTGAGTCAACTTAAACCACTGCATAGTAACTTTAGTACTGTATGTCTTTTTAAACTGGCTAACTAGCCAGCTGCTCTTTTGCCACACGTGATTATATGCTTACTCCCTGACATGTTCATTTTTATCATACTGTTTACTTGTATATGTTGTTTCTTTATTAGTGAGATAGGTGACTGTCTAAGTGAGCCAGTGGACTTACTTTTCTAGGTACCTCATTAATAACCGTACAATCTCATGCACGAGTATTAAGTACGTATTTATCGAATTGTTGCATGATTCTTCACCTAACCATGTTTATTTTTACATCACAGAATGACGTACATCCCATATGTTCCAATATAGAAGCTTATTTTGCGACTCGTTTATCATTAAAACTAGTTTCAGGGGAAGGTACTGGTCATAATGACTAATACTTATTTCACTAACTGTTATTTTCGGATTTTGATACCGCTAACATGAAACACACTTTAGGTCTTACTCATCATATTCCTAAAATATATTCAACTACAATTTACCAATATCTGTCAGTATAAAGCATATTCTTGCTAATAAATTTTCACCTTCAGAGGTGTCCTAAATCGTTTATTCTTCATTTTTTTTCTGTAGGTATAAATGGAAGGCAGTAATTTCGTTCCTGTGTATAAACCATCAAATATTGCTTCTAAATTGTCGGATGAGTTTATTCGTACTTTTGGTGATAAGCCCACTTTTGTAGTTCAGGCTCCTGGTAGAGTAAATCTAATTGGTAAGTTGACGCGTGAAAAATTTAGGCTTATCATATATAACGTACGATTATTCTTGACGTTTATCTGTGTTTAGAATTATAACAGTCTGGTGAACTGAACTAAGCCATCCATACCTCTTTTCTAGCCTAATCCCATATAGACCAACATTGTTCGTCGAAGCAAGTAGTAACTCAGCATGTGTAACGCATTTCCTAGCTATCTCAAATGCGTAGAACACTATGACTTATTGGGTAGCAAGATGGTGGTTACGTTGATAAATAATTGGAACTACTCTTCATCGTAAAAAAGAGCACTAACTAACTAAAGACCATTGTTTCTTTTAAAATTTATAGACTTTATCGTAACTAAAAAATGGTTTCACAGCAATTTAAACATGCTCAAGTTCACGGATTATTCAGCACTTCTAGTTATTCCACTTCTACACACTTGGGAGGGCGACTTCAACGTATTACCACATTCCTCTATTCAATATCCTCATAATACTGTGTCTTGGCTTCATCTAGGTGTTATTTTAGTTCAATGAATATAAAAACCCGATCTGCATTCTCTCTCGTATACTTCAAGGAGTCGTCAAGTACCATTTTATAGACGTCGGTAACGTATGCACTGTAATACCAATAGTATATAAAAGTCCTCACATTGCTACCCATACTTTAAATGAATGTCTTGATCTGTCTCATTATCTCTTTCCGTTGTCAACATTATTACTGTCACATTTTCTTTGATATTGTTTTGCTTACAATCCCTATAAACGTCTCAACACAGCAACAGTTGTTGGTAGTTTAGTTTTGTGATATTACTCTGCCACCCGCTGCCTGCCAACTATATAAAACCGTCCTCCCCTTAGTAATGGATATAACTTATAGGTAGAAGATGTATCAGCACCTATTTCTACGGTAGAAACACTGCTTTTTAAATCGATCGCCTTTGACAATGTATATCTATTGAAATTTTTCTAAAGTGTCAAGTGAACTGTATATTCATGGAACTTCCCATACATCCACTGACTAAAAGTGGACGATGAACGCACAATAGGTTTTATGCTTGTATTGCAAATGGAAAAGAAATTAGTTTAGGGAAATCATGATATATTACTGAAACTGTATAGTATTACTACTACTTTTAAAAGACGCTAACTTTCTGAGTATTTCTTTTAAAAAATTAAATTTTTATATGTACCCTTTCATTTTAAGCCCATTTTTCATGAAAATATTTTTATCAAACCTTGATCAGAGTGCATACAAAAGATAGATTTGTTATCTACAATATCGTAGGAAGTAGCAGGTCTTGATAACGTGAACCTTAGGTAGTAAGATGTTAAACAATAATTCTAATAATCTAATTCATTCGCCTAGTATTCTGTTGTTTGACCCATCGGTTTTTCAGGTAGAGAATCATCTTTTTTTTATAGAAAGCAGACACTATCTGAAGTATGTGTGTGATGTTAACGTGAATTCATTCAGTCGGTCAAAATCTTACTGCGATTTTTAACTATTCTAGTTTACAAATTGGGTGAAGAAGTTTTGTGATACCTTGTAGTTTACTAGTAACTCCTTATAATAATGTACATAACCCTTCAGGATTGATAGCGTTTGATAAGACTTTTTAGGAGTCATGCTAAGGTGATAAACTTTGTATAGTAATAATGTATATCCTTGGGTCCCCAGGTTTTGATTTAGAGCAAAATATCTTGCTTTTGTTTTTCTTTGTAAACAGGTGAACACATTGACTATAATGGATATCCAGTGTTACCTATGGCTTTGGAACAAGCGATTCATATGTCTGCTGGTCCAACTTCTGGAACGGATTTGGGAAAAATTGTTCTCAGGAGTACATGTTCACAGTACAAGTAATTCTGTCATCATTACATCTTCTTGTCCTTAAGTGAAACATTAGAAAGTTACATTAAACATTTGCAAAAATTTGTGCAGATTATAGGATTTGCAGGGATTCAGATTAATATCCATGTAGATTTCGTCCACGAATGAGTATCAGTTAAAGAATGATTGAAAATCAGGGAAAACCGGGCAACTGTTTCCTTCTGTTTTGAGACCGTTCAGCATCAATCTAAATCCCTAAAAAACTCATAATCTGAAAATCAATCACCAGCTCAATGGAAGCTGTAAGATGAATACTGAATTTGTAGTGAGAAGTCGGCCAGTTGTGTCCACCATTTCAATGTGGAGTGGACACTCGTCGATGACAATGATTAGCAGTAGCGCTATGTCACGAATAAACAAAGTTAAGATTCACGGGTCATTGAATTCCAGCCCATTTGGGCAAACAGGTAACAACCTGAAGGTCCAGTGTTCGGTCCCTGGTGGTGCGTGCTACCGAAGAGTTCCAAAGTAGTACGAAACAGAGGTTCCTGGTTTTCATTGAATTCCTGACTGATGTTGGTTCGTCGTGAAATCTGTTTTGAAATATACTTGTCATATATATATATATATATATATATATATATATATATATATATATATATATATATATATATATATATATTCAGTCGAAATTCATTTCTCCATTTTGCATGTTCTCGAATTTTTCGCTCTTATTTCACGTCATCAGACCACATGCATACTGCAAAATTTACAACTCTAATGAATATTTGTTACTATTCGATGCTGTTATTTTGGGGATGGTTGTCTGTTTGACTAGTGTATGTAACATCATTGTATTCACCTGTGAGTAAATGTTTTTCGTAGGTCACCCATAATAACAGAGAAACCCCGTATTGGTTTATACACCAGGCTATGTGAGTCACAGCTTATGATGCGATATGCTTGATCGATGACTAGTTTGTGACTTGAATAGAGATAAGTTGTACTGAAGTACTAGCTAGCACAAAATTTAACCTGGTAATGAACTTTCAGATGAAACACAGCACCTTCTAGTATCCCTTTACTTGGCCTAACGTTCATGTCGCAGACAGGACCGATAAAATTAAGGTGTAATCAACGGGTTGTCATTTTTGTTAAGTTCTTTGTACAATTTTAACTTTAAGTCAAAATCCCGTTAAGTTACACAAGTATGATAATATTGAAAAGCATCATATTTTTATGAAACGACAGTGTTTGTTAATAAAAACTATATGTGGTTCTTTAGAAGTCAGAATAAAGTGATTAATGATATTAATAACTAATATTTGGTTTAGTGTATGCTCAGCCGAGTAGTGTACAAAATAGTTATTTTACAGAAAAAAATTTCATCGCGTTGGTATATGAGAGCAGTAGATAAAGTTCACTGGTTGGAACACCGACAAGTATTATTACTATTCCCGTGAGTTCCGAGTGGAACATAGGGTTTCCAACAGCACATTACCATTTCACTCTGTTCTCTGCAGTCTGTTTTTAGCTGGCTGCAAGATTGCCCATAAGCTTTAATTTTCTCTTCACATAGTATCCTCCATTTCATCCTCGGATCCACTCTCAGCACGTTGTTTCCCATTCCGGTTCCACTCGAGTGTCTGGTACGCAATGTCACTCGATGGCCTCCTTAGCATATATCCACTTCACCTCCTCTTCCTTCTGCATGTTTGTTGGGCAAAAGGTTATTGGTCATTTCGTTGGCAGTGTTCCCTGTTCATCTTTTCTGGCCGGTCATCTTATCTTCAGTATCGAGCAATATCTGCAATACACATATGTTATTGCTACTAAAATTATAGATGATATTGTGATAATTTGAAACAAGTACATGTGCAAACAGGATATTCATACGGTGTATATATTCGAAGTATCGAACTTTAGAGCTATTGTAGAATACATATCTTCATGTTGAAAGAGACAACAGACTATACCTCAACTACTTACTATTCTGAGTTATTTTGAACCATTTATCTTAAAACTGTAAGTTCCAAAGGCTTGAAATAAATGGTATTTATTTAATTTATGTTTATAGTAGATAAATATAGAGCAATTAGCCTAGTAATGTCATTGATTAATGTAAAAATATGTGAAACTCCGGAACAATTCTATATTTCTTTGTTCCACAACCACAAGTAGGGATTGTGTTAGTGAATAATCGAGTAGTAAGGGAGCAAAACCCAATAGGGGAAGGAAAAGTCTTTTTTTTACCGTAATTTCCGGTTAGTAGTGCTATATCAATGTGTGCTATATGAAGCAAACTTATCTGACTTGAGGTTACCTATAAAATACTTTAAATACCATACTAGTGTTTATATATATATATATATATATATATATATATATAATTAACTATTGTGGGATTTTATACACAAAAGCAATCCAAAGTTATATTAGAATTCTAATGCTTATTAATTTTTACCCGTTGTCATCCATTAAAGTGGTTCTCTAAACTCTTGAGTTAAATACAAAATCCATGAGATATAAAAACAAATAAGCCCTTCAGACCTGATTTCTACATTAAAGTTTTCCACATTATCGTCTTCTAACAGTCAAAGTTAAAATCTCATATTTCCAAATATAGGCCTGTTAAAATTTCAGTTGAGGAAGCTATCACATTTGGTTCTGATGGACCTCCTAATCCACCTGAATGGTTCCACTACTTTCTATGTGCATATCGAGGAATAAAAGATTATGTAGACAAGTCTAATTTGGTAGGTTGTCATACTTTTTTTCTGATAGTACAACTTTTCAGTCTTGTTTAAGTATTTCCAGTTGTTAATGAAAACATTTTTTAGAATTTCTGAACTTTTTCAGCCAAATTCAAATCCATTTAGGGTAAATATGATTGAAGTACTAGGGTTTCGTTCATTGGGTTCTGTGCTCAAACCAAGTTTCATTTACTATGTTCGATTTAGAATGTTAGGTAGTGTTGTGAACTGTCATAGTGTAAGCTTAATCATGTTCAGTATCTGTGGTTAGGTTTATCCTCAGCTATTCGCGTTGTCATGAATTGTTTTCTTTTCCAAGAGATTGTGAATTTCCATGTTACGGGATGCACATTATGCATAGTTCGTACATTTCAATTCTGTCAACATTTACTTAAAAAATAAATAATTTTTGCATAAGGTTTTACTCAACTGCTAGCTTCTTGAAACATTTATTCAGTCATAGCGTAATCAGATGTCTTCATTATTGTAAACTGAAGTATTGATGGAAATTTCCTGAAGCAATATTCGTCTAAATAGAGCTTTCCTATCAACTACAAATATTTGCGCTTATTTATTTATTAATTTATCAACATGATGTCTGCAGCCTGTGTTCAAAATCCTCTTATTTTAAAATATTTCAGAATTGGACTCCTCCCAGTATGAATGTGTTAGTTGGTGATGTTGAGTATGGTGGACTGTTTTCTGCTGCAGGTCTTTCGAGTAGCAGCGCTTTTGTGGTTGCTTCTGCAATAGCGATTATGCAAATTTCTGGTTTGCAGATAAGTAGGGTGAGTAATTTCCTATAATCGACTGCGTTTCATATAATAAACATAACTTTTCTAAAATGCTGATAATTTTTGTGTTATTAACTCGAAAAATTGAAATTATTCAATCAGAAGTTTATAGGAGTTTGATACAGCTGTTATCAAGAGATTATGATGACGAGCTTCATGATATTTTATATTATGGTACACGCTCCAGTCAAAGGAGTTACTGAATTTGAAATTTGTTTAATAAACAAGGATGATGAAATGTGAGCCATAATGCTGAAGTAAAATGCATAGAACCAAAAACTGAGGATATGAATTCTCTTGAATGTTAAATCACAGAGAAATTCACCAATGTTTTTATTTACCGTCAAAGGTGTAGAAATCATCTGCTGGCATTCACCGTTGATTGGTCTCCTTTCATCATCGAACTAGGTGACAACTGACATGGGTAACTTCAGTTGAAATAAAGCTATACTCAAGCTATATGAAGGTATAAACGGAATTTTTTCAACTTTTACAAACTTATTATCTTATTGAAGCATAGTCATAACGTAATCAAAAAATTCACATGTTGACCTTTCCAATCATAAACCACAATAAATCATGTGAGACAGCATTATCGTGTAATTTTTGTATTCAACAATGTCGTTTCTCGATCGATAAGAAAACAATAGTGTTTTCTAAACAATCAAATAAATTTTCATCACAACCTAACATCAGTCAGTTAGAGAATAAGTGGCAACCGAGGAGCATTGGACAACTGTTTCTTCCTAGCTTGCTACTCTTCGGTAGTGCTTACAAATAATCTCACTAGGGACCGAACTCAGGATTAATTAACCTGAAATTCAAGCAAGTGATAACCAGGATAAATTTGTGATCATTTTAACCAATAAACCTCATTTGGAAAAAGAGTGACTATAAGAGGTATGCTAAGCTACTACACCTACAGTAGCATTCAAGCTACAGTGGGTACTTTGTTGGTCATATTGGTTAGTAGCAAATAATTCAAATCTCTTACCTACTAAGAGCAAGATAGTTATAAGTGCGGAAATCGCCTTTAAAGTCATTCTGTAACTTTACGAATATAATATGAAGACAACTTGGTTTTTGTTGAAGTAAGAGACAAATATGTCTTACAGAATATATAGCGTGCTTAATTTCAAACCTTCCTTTATTATATGCGATTATCTGTCACTATACTGCTTTTTTACTGTTACTGAAAATGACATCTTTCGTCTCTTTTCCCTACTTTATTTAAACCATCATTTAGCATGAGTTAGCAAGTTTATGTGCAAAATGTGAGCAGTATATCGGAATGCAAGGCGGTGGAATGGATCAAGCGGCAAGTGTTCTAGCAGTTGAAAACAATGTAAGTTCATTGATATAGAATGGATGCACTCTTCTGTATATATATATATATATATATATATATATGATATTCTGTTTACACGATTAACTACGTAAAGTGTGAGAAGGAAAAAAGGCTTTTGTTGACTACCTTTTTGGTATTTTTTTTCCTCTACTTCCCTTTGCTAGGCTCTTTTAATCCAATTTACAAAACCGTATGTCACAGTCAGTCCTGTACAACTTCCAGCCGACATAGTTTTCGTAATAGCTCATTCTGGTGTTCATGCACGTAAAGCTGCTACTTCCCATTATAATGAACGTGTATCAGAATGTCGATTGGCTGCCAAAGTAAGCGTCGAAATTCTCCATTTACTATTTATTTTTAATTCGGTATTGTCATGCTTCCTGAATGTGTTTCTTCGCTACCGGATATTTAAATAAATTCAAATCTGACATACTCCATGTAAAAATTAGCTTTATTTATTCTGTCATTGTATATGCAACTGAAGTTCAGCTAAAAAAGACTGTGTAAAGTGAAATCATTATCAGTGTGTGTAAAAAGTGGTGAATAAAAGAGAACGCGAAGCAGCAAGAACCGGATCGCAGAATAATGGGACTTCACAGAAGGTGGTCGAAATATGTGTTGCACATTCCAGGCAACTGCTTTCATCGAAAAGTTAAGTCAAAACATGGGACCGACTGATGAAGTCATTGAAAATGTGTTTGAAACATGTAGGAACGTGACTAAAGTCTTTAAAATGTTAAAAGTGAATGTTTAAAGTTTCTTGGTAAGATACTTTGAAATCTTTCACAATGGCACAGATGTATTCAGTGCTTATAATAATGCAACTTCCAAGCATTACTAAACTTTATTGAAAACTTCTGTCTCCACCAATTAAGATTGTCCATTCTAGTATCATTTTACACTTCTCAGTTTTTTATATTTTTGAAGTATTGCAGCTTGAATCTGCGCATTTCTTCGCAGAGGTTTGTGTTAAATCATCGGTCAGTCATACGGTTGACGTGTGCTGTTTCTATCAGTTCTTCATCATGCCTCTTTTTTACCTACCTTTCTTTACGACATAGTGGTATTTCACTTAGCAGACTTCGTTAACGTTAACAGTGCAGCTCTGCATACATCTTCTGTATCTCGGCCTCAATATGTTTAAATCTAGTTACCTACAGGTGGAGTGACTTTGCTTGCATAGGACTCTACTAAACTGTTATTCGGACTGTGTTGGTTGTACTTCATCGTAATGATGTTGGGACGACTTTCATAAGTCTTCGACTTATAATCTCCTTTTTTTCACACACGATCGACACGTTCAACATATTTCTATCCCACTTCCTTAATAAGCTCCAGTAATAATAGTCTTGGAAAGAAATATTTTAGTTGATTAAGCAGTCTTCAGCTATGTTGATTCGTCAACTAAAGTTAGGTGAAAACGCCAACTACTCTCATTTTTATGACGAAGATGGCGAGTGAGTTAGCCTCATGGATAATACTGAAAGCAGCACTTTGATTGATATGAACTTTGATCGAGATTCGACTTGACAGTTGGAAGAAAATTAAGCATTAAGTGATCATTATTTTTCCCGTGGGTTCCGAGTGGAACATAAGGCTTTAACAGCCATCTCCATTTTTCCTGTTCTCTATAGTCCTCTTTAGCTAACTGTATGATTTCACGTAGACTCTCATCTTCCCGTAACACGATCACCTCCATATCATTCGTCGCTTCCAACTCGGGTTCCACTCGAGCCATGGCCTGGCATGCGATGACATCCAGCTGTCTCTTCAGTGCGTGCCCAATCCATCTCCTTTTTCCTCTACATATTTGCTGAGTAATAGGTTCTTGGTTGGTTCGTCCCCAGAGTTCTTTCTTGCTAAATCTTTCTGATAATCCGATCTTTTGCATGAAGTCGGCAAAATCAGCTGTTTATGAAAGTCTGTAGTGGTCTGTTGGAAATGCTTTTCATGACGCCAACAATTATACTCCTCATCCAACAGTTGTACTACAGTGCCACATACCAAGTAATCCACAACCGGAAACTCATGGAATCCTTCGAATTGAAGACGTTAGTAAGACAAGCTGGCTGCCTACTATCTCCAATGATTTTCCTAATTGCGGTAGACTGGATAATGCGATAGACAGCGGCGGGCAGCGAGGAAACAGGCATAAAATGGACCCACAGGAAATACTTGGAGGATCTGAACTTCGCCGATGATATATGTGTCTGATTTTCAACAAACTGGAAGATATGAAAGTGAAAAGCAACAAGTTGGTAGAAGAAGCATTTGGAGAAGACAGGACTTCAGGTGAACATAGAGAAAACAGAGTTAGTGATGAAGATTCCTGGCCAACGTCAACAGCAACAACAACTGACAACAATGGGAGGAGTCTGAAAGAAGCAACCTCCTTTACCTACCGACCTGGGAAGCATCGTTTCAACTACAGGTGGAGGGAGCTGACGAAGATATGAAAGCGAGGGTCGAGAAAGCAAGGCAAGCTTTCATTTCTCTCAAGTCTCAGTGGAGGTCAACAGCACTCAGCATGAAAATGAAAATAAGATCCGGATTTTCAACTCCAATGTGAAGTCAGTGCTACTTTATGGATCGGAGACTTGCACTGCACTCCACGAAGAGCACTTCGAACAAACCACACACCTTCGTCAACAGCTGTCTTCGCTCAATGCCACTCAGGATCAGATGGCCGGCCAGAAGAGATCAGCAACAGGGTGGGATCTCTGGCAATGAACGAACGAACTCAATAGGAACCAATTGTGCAACAAATATGAGAGAAGAAATGGAGGTGGCGAGAAAAACCCTGAGAAAAGCATCAAGTGACATCACACCCCAGTACATTGCTCGAGTGGAACCCGAATGGGAAGTGGCGAGTTGGTAATCAGTGCGAGGGTGATATGGAAGAGGTCATGCAAAGAGGAGATGAAAGCATATGGGCAGACGCGGAGCCTCTGCCTCCTAAAGACTTTATAAGTTCACTTCAGCTTAAAGCGTAATGTGGGTTTAGTTTGTTCTGAGTTTGGTAATGCTCAGAGAATCTTTAGTAAACATAGATTAAACATTCAAAGTTGCCATTATTTAGTCTTCTTCAGTACAAGGCGAGATTATCTTTATTCTTTAAATCTGTGTTCGTTTAGTCTTTTACTCTTTTCGTTTGTCTGTTAGTTTATTTTCAAATGCTGTAGGTAGTTACTGTCATCTGGATAGTTGAACTCTTGTTACATCCTGTTTCTAATTCCCAATCGTTCAGATGGATTACGAAGATATACCTGTAGCTAGTAGTTATTGAAATATATATAATGAATATAAACCGTTGTCTCAGGCAAAACACTATCAGTATACAAATTCCTCATACTTTCATGACTGCAATCCAGTGGTTCATGAATTGTATTTTTTTATCAGTTCTTTGTCCAGTATAATGGGTGAGTAACTGCCGCCTCATATAAACGTCTTGATTTCAATCCCTGTAGGGGTCATGAGTACAAGTGTAGCTGAGATGTCCAGAATTAAACAGATTTCAATAGTTTCCTAACTCATTTCCATTCGTGATGATACCCATCTTGAAACTAATCGAACCACACAAACCCGAAACTTGATAGTAACATTGTCGATTCTAAAAGTCTCAGGATATCAAAATTATTTAGGCGGATGAAGTCATTTGGAGCTTGTCGAACAATGAGTTGAGAATTACTGACTGAAGGTAAAGGTATTTGAAGCTAGACATTGTACCACCACATTCATTGTAGAAAAGAAGTCAGATACAATGAAACTGGTGATTATTAACCTTATTTATAAATTAGTGTTTACTTACTTTTACAATTATTTCGGTCATTTAGTCTGTTTTCACGCTCAAGTTTTTCTGTATTTATTTGCAATAGTTACTGTAGCTTAGACAGAATTCTGATGGTGTCTGCTTTCCTTGTATTCTCATAGACTGATTTTCTTTGGAATGTTTTCATAGATTTATCTAAACTGTATTCATCCATTGTTTGTTAGAATAACGTTTGTCTATCTTTCTTGAAGTTCACATTTTATGACTTATATTTACCAATATTCAGATATCTTACTACTTGGTATTGTTTGATGTAGAATGTTAACAGTGACTAGATTCTATCTTTAGCTGATTCCTAGTGGTCTCTGTCATTGAGCGTCATCTTCTCTTCTTTTGTCAATTCATTGTTTCTGTGTAAAAAGCGAAACCCGTTTGGGGTTCACTAACTAGAAACTAAAACGATCAGGTCTGAATAATATACAAAACTTAGTTTCAGTTCTTTTGCCGCTATAATTAAAATACTGACTTATATTTACTAAATAAATTTCCTCTGTGCATTCATATATTGAAATTTCATATAATAATTTGGAAATACGCACTTCTCTATGGTGATTTAATTTAATCATCTTATGTATGACATATATCTGCGTATAAGTTTGTGTTCTAAGGGCGACTATTGACTTAAAAAAATAAGAATAAGTCTTTTCCGAGATGTTCAAGAAAGTTAAACAAATAATTTGATCAAGTTTATATTTGTTGTGATATGAAGCTCATTTTGGGAAGTCCTACTCACTGCCTTCACGTGGCGGAGGTGTTTTTCACCAAAGTGAGAGGGCAAAAGCGGATGCCCGGCGCTCTTCACCGGGTTGACTGTCCATTGGATGACAGTCTAGGGGAGATGGCTAAACCCTGATTCCAAACCTCCAACGACTGGCGTATGAAGCTCACCGGCAGACGTATGGACAAAGGGCTTATTGGATGCCCTGAATGACTGGCCCCATTCAAAAAGGCGAATGAACCGGACTCCGGTCACCGGCTGCCAATGGATAGTGGACTCCCTACTCCACTCCTACTGCCTTGTAGGTCACACTTGGTTGTGTAAAGGCTAGAGCTGCACTCTCAAACAAAAGGCCGAGCGATGCTGGGGACATCACTCGTACCCAATTCCCATGAAACTTCATGGTTCATGAAGCCGGCTCATCCTCCCGTAGGAGATAGCCGAAGTAAAGTAAGTAATATAAACAAGTGAATTCGTTGACTATATTATTGTGGGGAAAGTGTGTTCATGTAAATTTTCAGCAATTAGTTTTAAGTGTTTTCGAATCAGTAGGATGCTTTAGAAAATAGTGTATCTCAACAATGTTCATGCGATAAATTTCTAATTTCCTGGATTTCTGTCTGAATTTCAGTTAAAAAAGTTCCGTAAAACTACTTGACCTACTCATAAGTAACATAATGTGATTCATAAAAGTAAATGAACGCTGGTGAATGCATATCCAACGGTGACTACTTCCATAGACATGAATATAGACCATTTTCAAGTGAAGTAGTAGTAATGACAATAAACGGTTGAATTGATTGGAGCTTAGGCTTACTGAGGTTGTGATCATTAATTTCTTTCAGTTAATATTACTGTACAACACTGTGTGATTTATCAAAATAAAATCTTATCCATAATGGAGGTATACTCTCCCATAGTGCCCAAGTTTTGTACTTACATTAATTTGTTTCAGGTGAATATCACGATTACATTTTGAAAAGTTTATCTGATATGTTGTCATAGGGTAGTAACCCTCTGCAGAGCTTGGAAATTAAATTTGTTCATCACAGTTTAATTTGATTCGGAATCATCCAGTATTTTGCTTACGGAACGAGATGTTAACTGTTGACTAGCGTCACAGTCGCCTATTTGACTTCTCTTAAAATGATAATTGGGAAACATGTTTCTTCACCACCACGCTGATTAATATGCTGCAACTAAAGCATTTATTATTATTTTTGTAATTCCCTATTTCAATAAGCTGATGAAACGTTCAAGAGAGAGAGAAACACACTATCCTTTTAATTTATCTCATGTCTGTTCTTTTCAACTTAGAATAAGTAAAACACTCATTTGATTTAATTGAATTTTCGATTTTCCCGTAGACTGATTGGACCGAAGTGCTCGGTCTCAGGTTGACTACTTTTTCATCGTATCAACACCACAGAACACTAAAGAATTTGTGGGAAATGATGCGATCCAGTAGGCGTTTTTGTTCTTCTGACTAAGTAGCAATACGATGTCAGGTGAAACTGTTTGAACGCATTTTCATATTCTACCTTATCAGCTTCTGCATTGGACAATACTTGGTAATACTGAGACCTATGAGAAGCAGTGTAGATGTGACCCGGTGGACCCAATTAGACAACATAATATAATTTACAAAATACCTTGCAATGACTGTGAGTTAAGTCAACTACATAGGTCAAACTAGTAGTAGGTCGAGGGTAGTCAGATTGTCGGAACATAACAATTTAGCTAAGGTAAGAATGCTTGACTCCGAAATGATAAGTAATTTAGAAAAAAGCTCAGAACTACATTGCGCTGCATGCATTAACACACAACCACACAATAGGGTGGGAGAGGGTTACAATTCTAAAAGGTAATCTGGGGAGGTGGAGAGAGAGCTTGATGACTGAATCCTTGTTCATCGAGTCTACTCCCAACACAGTCAATAGGAATGAGTCATCACTCATACCGGAAATATGGAAAATACTACTACCAATCAAATCAAGCGATGGAAAATAATGGAATTATATAAACGAAGTTAGAAAGTTGTATCTGTGTACCTTGATATGATTATGAGCAGTAAATTGTGCTCGAAGCGTCATCAGTAAACATTACTGTATAACACTGTGTGATTTTATCAAAAACAAATTTTACCCATAATCGAATTATGTTCTACCACAGTGCCCAAGTTTTATAATTATATCAGACGTGATTGTGTTGGTGTGTCTTTATTTCTCCTATATATTTCACTAGATATAGTTGACTATCTGCTTGTGATCAGTATAACTCAGGTCGAAAAATTATTATCTGGTATGCTTCATCTTTGGTAATCCTTTTTCACCTCTTTTGTGAAATTAATAATTCTATCTCTCTACTCATTTCCATAACAACTTCTATGCATTCATATTACATTTTTATTATTTCTATGTCACTTTCTTTTGTAGTTCTTGTTATCTGTATCATGTTTATTTCATGCTTTAAGTAGGTGGCATATCATGTACTTATCAAGGTTCATTATGGCAGTAACTTTTTTCATTAACATACATCTATTCCATTCATTTGATGCTTAAACTACAGCTGGTGCTCTTTGTGTTTCTGAGTATATATCCGTGCACACACAGAAACAGACGCACACAGACGCGTGTATAAAGCAGTCGATTCCCAGTTAGTGAACCACTTTTCTGCCTGCATATATACGTTGTCAGCATCATTATCTTCCTTTATGATTCATCAGTGTTTGTCGTAGAAATCTAATTACATGACGATTCATATCATGTTGTGTTCAGAATTTCTTGTCATTCCACATGTGTTTTGGAAATTGAAAACAAGTTATCATTGTTTTTGTTGTTCTCATTTCAAGGACAAACATCTGGCTGTTTATACCTGTGCAGTAGGGCTATTTCTCAGCGACACAAACAGGAATAGTCATAACAACACCGGTATAAATAAGTACGCATCTGTGCAATTTACTTTTCGTAACACTACTACTTCTTGTGGTTTAATCAAAAATATTTTTAATAAACAACGCTTAGTTTTAAAGAGATATAATGTGCAATTGCAAAATTTTCAGACTACATTGTGTGTTATAGACTAATTTGTTTTGAATTACTGCATCGTAACTCAATTCCAACTCTAAAACTTACATGTGGGTAAAAAACCATCCAATAATTTTATTGTCTGGGTCTGCAGTCGTTCTTAAGCTGGGGGGGGGGAGAACGGAAAAAAGTTCCATAATTGGCGGAATATGTTATTATTTTAATTGCTCGTACCATTGTGTTTTAGTACATGGTACGTATACTTGTGTTTCAGTCCCACTGAAATACTATCTGGTGATAACTTGGACATAAAATCCATACAACTTGATGTATCTTTTTGAAAACTCAAAGTTTTAATGTATTCACCAACTTCTAGACATCGATAGTGTTTTTAGCATACTCACACGCACGCAAAACCAATGCATCTAACAAATCCCAGTTGTTGAAATTTTTTTCGGTATCTCATACTTTTGTGCTGGTAAATCTCGAAATAAAGAGAAACCTTTCCTTCGGCATAAAATTTGAAATTCTATTTAAGGGACCACATTATTCGAGTGTAGATCAGTCGATTTTTGTAAGGACTTTGCGTTAAATATATTGTGATTCCCCAAGTTTTAGTCGAATCTATATTCTCAGTTTCACATTAAGCAAAGTTTTACCTCTCTGAGGGTCTTGTCGACCCACTTTAATGATTTCATGTAATCTACAGAGTACTATGTCAAAGGTTGTTCTACTCGGTCACTCAACTTCACCCCTCTCTCTCTCAACTCGTATTACCTGATTCTAACATGACTATCCCATGGTAGCTCATTCGTTTTATTTGACTTTAAGCTCAAAGGTGTGGAGATGACTAAACAAGGTCTCGCAATCGTAAGTTGTTACGGTTTAAAATATGACTGCTAATCCAATGCATAAAATAACCTTCATCGTCTAGTCTATCTGTTTTGCACTTTGTATCTTGCTGTGTACTAGATGGTTGTTAATGCATATGTAACTCATGGGCTTAAGCAATCGGCATTCAGCCAATAGGTACCGGGTTCAACGTCCGTCCCACCTAGTTTACCCTGGGTAAGTGAATAGTATCATCAGCCCTCCTCACAAAGTATGCGTAGCACACAGCCTGTTACATTAAAAATATGTTCTGAGTAACTGAGTTCGAATTAAACTATAACTTAAGTGTTGTAATAGTAGTATGTTGTGTACAAGAATTTCAATTCTCTTTTGTTGTCTACTGACAAGCTGGTAGATGTAGTTTTCAATTTAATCTGCATAAATGTCTGTTGTTAATGTTAATGTAAATTCCATCTTCTGCATCCAGAAGTTTATTATTAAGATCGCCTGAGGTAGACCCAGGCTGGTAATCTGAGGATTTGTAGTAAATATTCTTAAACTTAGTTGAGCTTTAAGCACACACTATATATTTATTTATCTCTAGTTTTGCCTCTTAAAAATGTCTACTTGCTTCCTGGTACAATTACAGTTGAAGTATGAGATAACGAATAATCCTTTTCGTACCCATAACTATTAGCAAAGTAAGCATTTCAGGCAGTGCTTCTAAGTCTCACTGGAATGCGTTATGTCATCACATTAGATCTGTTTAGTTACGTATATTTGCTTAACATTCCTGGCGTCTCATGTCTGGAGTCGTCAATTGTGATACTGTTTAGTATGATGGAACGGTTAGTACCCCTTATCTCTAGGATGTCTCAGTAACAGTTCGCAATGCCGTTTTCCATCATGTACCATCTTAATCTCTTGAAGTAATCAAATATCAAATTGGTTTATCTTATGCATAACATTGGGAAGTGTGTAGTTCTTTCTTAAAGACTCCAAACAGAAGTTACCCATTATATTATTGTTTCAGTCTCTCTCTCAATGTGCGTCGGTGGCACATTGGTTAGGACTCTCGCCGACCATGTACATGGTCCGAGGTTCGATCCCCTGCTGACGCACACCTGATATCTATGGTCGGCCTGCAAAATTTGGGCTACCGATATCCATGCTGAAAATTCCAGGCTTGTACCAAAAATACAGCGTGGAATCAAGTTGTAAATCAAAAATAAAAATAAAACAAATCCAACTGATATCGCCACCTCAAATATCTATTTGTTACCTTTAGAAAGTGTGAGTGTGATGGTTATTTTTTATTTCATAGTAAAGATGACATTCCCAGGTAACTCTGAAATCAGTCAAACCATAATGGGGTGTCGTGTTACTGAATACTACTCAACTTGCTTTACTTAAGTTTATCATGTAACAGTGAGGACTGTTTAATCACTTTTGATATTTTTCCCCTTTAATAAAATTAATTCTGTCAGATATTGGCTCAAAATAGTTCATGTTCTGATGAAATTTCCTCTTCTGCGTCACTGGTACCGTTTTGTCTGAGTGATGCGCAAAAGGCGTGGAAAGCAGTTACCCCAGAGGAGATGATACGTGTTCAAACGGATGGATTGTCAATTGTAACTAGATATCTACCGAATGGTGTTACAACTCGTCATGAACTACACAATCTTGGTTTAAGTGACGCTACCATTGATACGTGCTTAACATTGAGGACTAAAACAAGTATATTTCTTTAGTTAATTGGTAGTTTTCATTCACTTTGATTTATTATTTTGTTCGATTCATATTTAATTTGTTCGTTATATACTCAAAGATATCCTTGTTTTCAGAGCAGATAGTAATCACTCATATTTGCACTATGTTAATTATTTCGCTATGGAAAACAAACGCGATCCGTGTGATAACCAGCGTGATCATTTATCCTTGTTGGGTGTCATACTATATGCTTTAGCTACAAGGAATTTTATCGGGGGAAATTGATAACATTGTGCGTAAAAGGTCATGAGCCAAGGAGCAAATTATGAGAACCAAAGTGGAGGATGATAAGGCTTGCAGAACAAGTGGCTGAAGCATGTCACTTATGACAAACGATCACCTTTGGCGATAAACAGTGTTAATGGTGAGTAAAGATTAAGTTGGAAAATCCACCAAACGTACCGGAAGATACGGGTTACGTGACTGGGGCCATTGTGATGCTAAGAGTGAATAGTTGGAGATTCTTGATAAGGTAGTTTGAAATTTTCCATGGTAGTGCAGATCTCTTCAGTCCTTATCATTATATAGATTTCGAAAGTCACCAGATTTTTATCAAGTACTTCTTTGTTATTCCATATTAGTTTGTTTATTAGATGTATCACATCTACATCTACATCTAATAAACAAACTAATATGGAATTACTTACTACTACAGTGCCCAAGTTTTACACATATACTTCTTTCTTATATCTATGTTTTTTAATTCTGGAATCATTTTGTTCTTTTTCTGAGGCTTTATGTTTTTTTTCGAAGTATTGCAACTTGAACTTGTTTGACTGTAACGGTTTTGCTCTGGATCGTCAGTAAGCTGCAGTGCCAGTACTACCTGGCTGACTGATCTTGGACCGAAGTTTGGATTTGGTGGCGACATTAACTTTGGGACATATCATATTGATAGTGTCAACATACTACAATTCGACATTTTCATGATACAGCTTCATAAGCCTGGAAATCAACGTTTTAGTACCTATTAAAACAACCCTCTCGACTGTTTAGCATTTCTGATTATTAATCTTCAGAGTCGTCGCACAGATTACGTTTCACTTTACCTCTAAGGTGTTATCACCCTTCATCATACATAGACCCTGAAAATTTAGGTTTTATGTGCTCATTGATTTTAACTGAATGTTTTCTAATCGATCTCTGGGTTATTTAAATTCCCCGACATTTTTCTCCTATTTGACTTGAGGTCGTGATAGTCTTTTCAGCATCATTAATTTTTTTACTGTTTAAGTATAATTTTGATATCCGCATTTTGTTCTGATTTGAACATAGGGCTTCAGCAACACATCTCTTTGTTCTGTTTGGCACTGTCCACTTCAAATGGGTCCACGATTTCCCGCAATCTCTCATCTTCTCCAACTCCGACAATCTACTCCATGTCGCCCCCACACTCGTTGGACACCCATTGGGATTCCACTCGAGTAATGGCAGGCATTGCGAGTGATGTCATTCGACGGTCTCCTCAGTGTATGCCCGATCCATCTCCATTTCCTCCTACCTATTTGTTGAGCAATAGACTCTTGATTGGTTTGTTGACAGCCAGAGTTTATTGTTGCTAATTCTTTCTGACCAGCCGGCCATTTGATCTTCAGTACGGAGACAGTCATAGAAGGCGGCAGCTGTTGATAAAAGTCTGCAGTAGCCTATTGGAAATCCTTTCTGTGACACGAAGTGCAGGTTTCTGACCCGCATGGAAGCACTGACTCACTGACTGGCTGACTGACTTCACATTTGTGTTGAAAATCCGGATCTTGTTCTTAATGCTGGCTGGTGAAGCAGAAGATTTCCAAACTGGTTTCAGGTTGATGAAGGCGTGTCGCGCCGTTCCGATTCTAGCCTACCTTGAAATCTTCATCCGTTCCGCCAGCTGCGGTTGGGATAAGTGAAGGAGTTAACCTCTGTCAAATCTCTCCGGTTGGTGGTGACTGGTGCTGGTCGTTGTTGCTGTTGTCGTTGTTGTTGGTTGGTTAGTGATCTTTATCACCTCCATCTCCTCTATGTTCACCTGGAGTATTGTCTTCGTTGCCAGTTTGTTTGTTTTCACTTGTAGGTCTTCGAGTTTGTGTGGCATTAGACAGAAATCATCCACACGCGAAATCCAGATCTTCTAGAGTCTTCTAATCGGTGGCCCAGCATCTTCCTGTCTTCTCACTCCCATGCACAGTCTGATGCATAATCCAGTACAGAACAATTGTGAATATCACCTGTAATAATAGGCAGTCAGTGTCGTTGAAGGAAGTTGAGGTAGAGGTTTGACTGCCATTCTATGCTTTGTTCTGTGATGACGATGTGTAGAGGCGCAATTTGATCAGCACCTGATTTGCCTTTCCTGAATCCAGCTTGTTCCTGTGCGGTTGGTGGAGTTCTGCATCCAGCGCATCTTTCATTCTCTCCAAGATGATGCGACTCAGCATCTGACTTGGCGTGGACAACAACACTATTCCACACTAGTCAGTTCTTGCAGAGTGAGGCGTAAGTCGCCCTCCTTTGGTAACATGACGAAGTAGCCAGCCTTTCTTCCAGTCAGCAGGTAAGCACTTTTTTCTCCTTCCAAACCTTTTGTAGTAATGGCGTGAGCACATCTGTGGCAGTCTCTAAGTACGTTTCCAGGGCTCCGGGGAGGGGGGATGGAGGAGAATTCCGTCTGGTCCTGCTGTCTTCCCGGCTGACCTTCAGTAGCTTCACCGCACCTGAGATTCCTGCCTGCATTGGTGTCCACTGGCAGGCAGTGGTGTTGGTGATAATTCTGGGCGAGGTGCAGGTGATGGTCGACTCAAGAGTCCCTTGAAGTGATCAACCCATTGTTTCATTTGTCTTCCTCCTTGCCAATTAGATTCCCTTGAACATCTCTTATTGGTTTCATCATCTGGGTTGATGTTTTCTCGGATAGAGACCTGGTTGTCTGATATAATGTTTTAAGTCTTCTTTTACATGCCTGCGGCCTGCTTGTTCTGCTTCGGTTGCCAGCCAATGTGTCGCAGAATTGTCTTTTGTCTCTCCTTGCACTCTTCTTCACCTCTCTCTTGATTCAGTGCAGTGTGCATTGATTTAAGCTTCTCCTTGTGTTGTGCATTCTTGCATTGAGTCATCTTCTCTTTCACCATCTTCCTCTCCTCTCTTCAGGTAGGTGTCCCTTTGCAGCCATTCTTTGTCTTGTCTCTCCTTTCTTCCTAAGATGGCTGTACACGTTTCGTTGATCATCACCTTCAGAGAGTTAGTTCCAATGTTGTTCCACACAGGTTTCTTCAGTGATGCCACGTAGTGTCCTCGAACTTGCTCAGGACTGATAGCTGCAGCAAAAGTGTCCTTTCTAGTTTTGTCCTTCAGTTTCTGAATGTTGAACTTGAATTACAATGGCCTGTCTGTATTTGCTTTCAGGGATCTCAGCTTCAGCCTAAAGGTTCCTCGAACTAGATGATGGTGTGAGTGAGCCCACATCTGCTCGTCTTCTCGACTTTGTGTCCAGAAGATTGGCTATGTCTCCACTTCCTTCGTCATTATTCAGATGAAATCTATCTGGTTTGTGGTGTGTCCGGCAGACGAAATCCATGTCACTGTCCTTGTGTATATCTTTGTGTTTGTACACGCTGCCACCGATTACCGAATGACTGAAGGCGCAAAGGTTTGTGAAGAGTTCTCCGTCATTACTCATTTCACCGAGTGAGAGCCTCCCGACCCATGATGAGTTCTCCTCCTCTGTTGTCTGCTCCCAGTTCGGTTGGCAGTCATATCACCCATAGGGGTTTTGGTGTATCCATCTGGCTGGTGTCTTGTCCATCAACTGTTTGTAGTTGTCTGTTAATATCTTCCCTCTTCTCTTGTTCCACGTTGTTTGTAGCACTGTGCTTAGCATTGCATGATAATTGTGACCTTCCTTCCTTCCTTTCGAGTTGAATCTTGCTGTCATGATCCTGGAGGAGGAGATTGGTTCCCACTGCATTACGGCTTTGGCTGCCACTGGTAACATCGTGACAGCCACTCACTGCCTCAGTGTGCTCGTGGTTGTTGTTTGGGTGACTAGAACGGAGTAGATTACTGACTTTCCGGTTGACGATTTTGACAGTCCACATCCATTGGATCTGCTCTCGCAGATTCTCAGAACTTCTATACCATATCTTCTCACTGAACAGCCTTCCCAGTGTCTTAAATTCCACGTGCACGTCCCCTTTCTTATTCTAGCTTTAATCGACAGAGAGGAAAAACATCGGCTGACTGACTGATTTCTCGAAGGCTTTCATCAGCAGACAGTGTCATTTCGCCTCTCATCGAAGAATAAGCTTTGTTTTAATTGATCGTATTTTCAATATATTTCTTGTGCGTCGAAGTTTCTCTTGCAGTTTGATAGCTTTTGTGGTGTATGGTTGCTAGCCCCACGCCCAGCCCTTCTCTTTACCAGGGTTTGGGACTTGCTAGAAAACTAGTGAGCTAGTAAACTGGGTGAGGTTCGTGCTGGCGTAAATCACTGATTATCCCGATATACGAGAATGCGAACAAGTCTCCCTTTGATAATCACAGGAGGATTAGCTTGACTGATATGGCATCAAAATTTCTAGGCTCAATAATCATGCAAAGAGTAACCAGTGCACGGAAAAAACCAACATGAGAGAGCCAGACAGGCTTTAGACCATGAAAAGTGTGCATTGATCATGTCTTTACCCTTCAACAGACTCTGGAACATGGGCATACTTACCGGTGTCCAACAATCGTTATATTCAAGTATTGGTTTGTAGGGATTTTGATTGATTGGCTAGAGGATTTCATCATGAATATCAATGAGATGCTCACTGGCGACTGGCCCTATTCAGGTAGGTAGTTACCTGGGTTCCAGTGGGAAGTCGTGATCAGTAGGGTGCAGCAGGTCGGGTATGAGGACAAATACTCGCCGAAGACATTGGCTAGAGGTTGCGCTATATCGTGAATTGGCAGAAGTTAGAATGCATGCACTGGCCATTGGATCGGGTCCCAGTGGCTTAATGGTGTGCGAGCTCGCCTTGTAACCAGAAGGTCCTGGGTTCGAACCCCGGCGGGTGCGTGCTGATGAAGAGTCCCAAACTAGGACGAAACGGATGTCCAGTACTCCCAGGTTTTCAATGGTTCTCTAACTAAAGTCAGCTGATGATGAAATACTCTAACCAATCGTTATATTGCTTCACCTAAAGGTGGCATTCGATTCTGTCGACCGGGAGGTACTCTGGCGATGTTTGGCTGTAAAGGGAACGCCGAGAAAATGCATCGCACTGATGAAGGCACTCTAGTCGAACTCATACAGTCAGCTAGGTGACAGCCTATGGAGGGTTGTCAGCTGAAGTGATGTCCGTCAAGGATGCTCAGTGTCCTAATTTTTGTTTACTTTTCTCATACATGTATTAATGAACTTAAACCTAATTGACTTCAGAGACTGACTTGTTACCAGAGAATAATAGTCTCGTTGGCTTGGAATATGCAGACGATATACTACTGCCTCCCTGGGTCAAGATGATGATAAAATGCAGAATCTTTGGAACACCTTGAAGAGCAGCAATCTTTGAATGTTTGGTGTACGATTCTCTCCTGTCAAATGCAAAGTGGTCCTACAGGACTGAATTACATTGACTCCTAGTTTAAAGATAGTCAAGGAGTAAAGTGGTCGGTGGAGCGTGTTGATTACTTCACTTATTTGGGAATTCGCATTAGCCAACGCCAGCGGGTTGATCTATGACAAAATCTCAGCATGGATACAGAAGGCTCGTCTGGCATTTGCCGACTTATACCGTCCCTGGGGTAGACGTGATACCCAGCTGACTGTCGATTGAAGGACATGTTTACTACTCAGCAGCTTGCTGTGTTCCTCCCTTATGGCTGTGTGACATGGCTATTGAAATTGAAATACATGGCTTTGATCATAGGCGTCTGCGGTCTACCACCAGAGTTGAGTGGCATAATAGGGTGAGTAACATTGAAGTTAAGCTTCTAAAGCTCGGTAATGAGAGAAAATCAATCGACGGGGTTGTGAAGTTACGTCGTTTGAGATGATTAAGACATGGTACATATGCCTAGCCATCGCCTTCCCTGACGGGGAATGTTAGCTGACAGGATGAATCAGGTTGGAAAAGAGCTAGTGATGATGGTGGTCGAGCCAAACATGGCATCAGTCCATGAATTCAGTGACAGTTGGTCTGAGCCACGTAGGGAGGTGCAGACTTTCGGGCTGTGGTCCTCGAGATGGTAAAGACCAGTGACTGAAGACAATTGGTGACATGGCTCAAAGTCGTTCTCAATGAATAGCGCAGATGCATTCACTCTTTGTGATAGATAATATCCAATAATATTATATTGTTCTTCTATATTACTATTCTCACACTTCTGTTTATTATCTTTCTTTTGAATCTCTCTTTACTTTCTTCTCTTGCTTTGTGTGCTACAAGGAGGGAGTGTTGCAACTTGAACTGTTGCACGTCTGTGCACAGTTCTGCTTTGCAACCAGTCAATCATTGACAATCGCGTTTGTACGGGTTGTAGTTCACGTAACTAACCCCTGGTCGCAAATAAACGGTAGAATTCGATATTCTAAATAGAGAAAATCAATTTTATAACTCCGATAGTTATCATTTCTATGTGCATTTTGTTTTAGTGGATGAATTCCGTCTACGGGACCGTGCAGAACACGTGTACTCTGAGGCTGAACGTGTTTACAAATTCTATAATCTATGCAAGAAAACAATGATGAGCAAAGTGACCAGTCAGTGTGGTGATAGTACAAAAGTCAATTGTACTGATTATATGAAATTGTTAGGTGATTTAATGAATGATAGTCAGTTATCATGTGCTAAACTTTATCAGTGTTCTTGTCCAGAATTAGACAAGTTGATAGATATATGCAGGTTAGTGTGTTTTATTTAATGAAGTACTGAAATCAATTTATCATCTGTTACCGTGAAATATGCAAAGTTTTGTCAACACCTTATATTTACTGGTGTCTAATGGTGGAGCCTATTAAACTCCTTTCTCTCTGTGTTATTTGGTGAATGGTGACTAGCAGTGGAATGCAGGATGCGCATTTTGTCCTATTTGGGACTCGTTACTGGACGTATCAGTGTGTGGTAGTGTTGCCATTGAGGCTTGAACCCAGGATCCATCGTCTCAAACGCCAAAGTATTACATATTAAACCACTTGGGCCACAAGAACCACCTCTTGTGCAACGGTATCAGTTATCATTTACTGTTAATTCAATTTTGTTTTCCCGTTGATTTATTGGACCGAAACTTTCGGCATCTGTTTGATATGTTGACTCCTAGTACAGACATCGACATTTGCACTACGCACAGCGTGTTAGTCTTGATGCGCCATTAAGTCATGTCTTCCATCCAGTATTGTTCTCAGTGTTGTTTTTGCACCTGTTGTTTTTAATAATGTTTGCTGAAGTAAATTATTGTTCTTATACATATTTTTAGGTCAGCTGGTGCTTTCGGTAGCCGTCTAACTGGTGCTGGCTGGGGTGGTTGTACTGTGTCACTTGTTAAGAAGTCTGAGGCAGATAAGTTCATCGCTGAAGTACGCTCAAAATTCTACAGTGAAACGGATGAAAGCATTGGCGACAATAATCCTATATTTGTTAGTCAACCAGGTCGTCCAGCTGGCATAATGTTTATGTGATAAATCAATAGTTATCTGCAGTTTCTGATTACTGATTTTTGTTTTCTGTTGTAATTTTTAATTAACTTGATTTTTTACTTCTGCCTAATAGTACTTCTTTTTTAATTTGCTAATTTATTCAAAATATCGAGTGCTTTATAATGACGAAAAGTTGTTTTTCATCAGCTTTTTATTTGAGGAATTTGTGTCTTATGTGTCAAGGGTAATTGGTATTTGTCTAATCCATAGATTCCTGAATAAATGGACAGAAGAGGTAGTCAGTTGGGTTGTAACGGCTAAGTAACACCTTTATGGTGAATAATAATTTAGGCGCTCAGCGGTCAGATAAAATGCAGTTGTTGACTGTAGATGACAGTTATTATCGCCTTAGTAAAGTGCTTCTTCAAAGTGGTTGAATCTGCATGTTTATCACTTCCTTTGACGACTGGTTATCATTGCTCAAATAGAAATTAAATCATCGAACTTTGTCCTTTCTATCATTTGTATTTATAAGCCTAGCTGTTGCTCTAAAGATTGATATATATAGGGTGAACAACTAGAGAATTTAAGAGATGCATTACTGATTGCTTAATTCCGTCGTTCTGAAAAAAGATTTGATAAAGTCATTAAGAAGATCAATTCATCTCAGTTGTTCGATATGGATCAACTCCTTGAAGGTGATTCCTAGGTTTCCACTGAACCACTTGATAGTAATATGAACTGATTTTCGAGAGAATAGTCTTTGTATGCATGTGTGCATATTTAGAAACGTTTGTTTCAACTGTTTATCCACTTCATGTAGGATAAACCCAATACACTAACTTCATGTGTAATCTTTAAAGTGTAAAATGCCTATTATGGGAAATATGAGTCATTTCCACTGAACATCTGCACAGTAACAAATTCTTAACCTTCTCATAGGTATTTTCAGCTACTTTTGAGCTCATTCACCTGGAAAGTTCAGTTGTTTGATAATATGATTCATTCTCCTTGGAACAGTCAGTGATAGAAACGTGAGTTACTTCCTACTTCACTTGAATTTTCTAAACTGACTGCACAATTTTAACTAGAGCACATAGTATAACGTGTATTTCAGTAAAACCGGATACACCATCTCAGAACAAGTGCTCGTGGATCGCATCTTATTAGCTCAGATGAAGGATTCATTTGAAACACTTCACTGGTATAACATATGGTAGTTTTTGAGGTATAATAGACAGCAGTAGTGCGGCTTTCAATACTTTTGTCCAAAAATGACTGGTGTTTAGTCTGAATCGAATTATTAGCACCGCAGGTGGCAGTTGTTTCAGAATAACTAAATGAATGTATTTCTGAAACTGATTCTTTGACTTAGTACGAATAAAGACATTCAGTGTTGCAAGCATTTAGATAAATTAGTGTAAAGGATGACGACAAAATTCGTATGGAAGCTAGAGAAGAACAGTTAATGTTTGCTGTAGATGACATAAAGCTGGAGAAGACCGTCGACTGACATCACGCACCAGCCCATCGCTCGAGTGTAACACGAATACGAAACTTTGAGTTGGGGTGAATGCGACGGTAGCATGGAGGAGATATGAAACTGTGGAGAGTTGTGGGGTCATCCAAAGAGGACCTCAGAAAATAGAACTAAGTGGAGATGTGCTTTTGAAGTCCTATGTTCCACTCGAAACCCATAAGTGGTTATGCGGCTAGGCAAGTATTCTGAAACGATTGTTGGATTATAATTTGTATGTCGCCTGATTGACTTTTCAAGTTTATACAGTCTCTCAACTTATGAGGCCGATTTTCTGAGCCAATGGAGGTCACGGGGGTGATCCTTCATGCAGAATCGTGTGTCACTCCTTGAGAAATCGACTCTGATACCAGTGCATTGGTGCCACAGTGGTTAGGACTCTCGCCGACTATGCACATGGTCCGAGGTTCGATCCTCTGCCGACGCACACCTGATATCTATGGTCGGCCTGCAAAATTTGGGCTACCGATATCACATACTGAAAATTCCATACTTGTACCAAAAATTCAGTGTGGAATCAAGCTGTAATAAAAAAAAAATAAATCATGGTTACTTCTTCAAATTTATTTGTAAATCATTCCGTCGGATTTAAATAATGCTGATTTAGTTGATCTGAGTGCATAACCGTCATTTTGCTCGTACTCTAGACGATTTTAATCATCATTGTTCAAAATGAGCGTCATTATTCGAGTGAAAAACAGCAGCTTGGTCTTATCATGTGTTAGGTTTAATTTACTGAATAAAAAACTAAATGTCCATAAGGTGAGAAAACATATGAACATTTTTTATACACTTATATATAGTTTAAGCTCTTAACCATTTATTAAATTAAACTGGAATTTTAGAAAGCACCCTAACTAATTTCTCATTATCAGCTTTTTCTAAACTAGCAGCATTGACACAAGTAATCCGTCTACATTTGTATATTATTGTTAAGATGTAAACAAAACATAAATTTAGTTATAGCCAAGTAAGCAACATTGGCAGTAGACCAAACATTGTTAACCGTTTGTTTTCTTTTTTCATTCCAAAGTATACCAGACAGCATTTCTGGTAAACACTGAACTGAAACAGAGACAATGCTATTCCCACGCAATCACAGTTTGTTAGCCGTAATAATTTAGTGGGTGAAGTGTGTTACACGTAAATTAATATGAAAAGGGGATATAATATTGTGGGAATTGACAACTTACACTCACGCGTATTCACTTTGGAACACAACTTGATTGTAAAACGTTATTTACGATTTATCTATGGCCAAACGAAAAGAATTTAGAAATTATATTACTACCATCAGTGGAAAACCCACAGAGAAAGCTAAGCAGAAACTTTGGTGTGCTATAAAAGCTGACGAAATTCCCACTGAACCCAGATGATGTTGTTTTTAACCTCTCCAATGTAACGATTTCGACGAAAAAGTGGTATTATCCAGCTTGATAAAAAAACGTGTCTGATAAAGTTAGAAAGAAATCAAACGTTTATCATCGCAATACGAAACTGAAATTGTTACTCGCCATCTCTAAGATCGGAGAGAAACAAAGCAGCACCTATTCATTTTCTCAGTTATCACTAACGTCATCTGACAGTGTGATGCATGCAAATCAAGGCAGCAAACTTTGTGTGGCTCCGAAAATGTTTCAGTTTATGAGTATTCTTGCTCCTAATCTTTTCCATGTATATTCTTTTGGATGGTCTTCACTTTTGATACTGTCCATTACTGTGGGGTTAATTCAACTTTTTGGCAGGAATGAAGGCACTTTTCCATTGAAAAATGAAAAGAGTATTCCTTACTCAACCTCTTTTGTTCGTAAGACCAAAGTGTAGCCAACAGATTTGAAGCTATTTGTACAACTATTCTTCCTGGTTGATATTCATCTCTAAAATACTCTTATTCGTAGTGATTTGCACAAAATACCACAACAAATAAATCTACAGATACACGTGAATATTTATGGCTATCACTAATATATGAGAATTTTAACAAGCTTATTGGATTTTATTCTTTATTTCAATGTTAATCAGACCAGGGAATAGTTGTTCGATTTATCTACTTTTAAGTAGGGGATGCTCTGAAGATATATGTATCACATTTTCTGAAGAAATGGGAGTAATCACAACTATTATTCTTCTGGATTTCTCGTCGACTGATTTTCCTAAATCGGAATGATCAGTCCTTTTCAATGCCTCAGATTTAAGTACTCATGATGCTATGTGACCATTGGCAGCTGGCGGTAGAATTAAAGATGCACATTGCCTCTTATTTGGGATACGTCACCGGTGTATTCCTGTGTGCCTTTAAATAATGGTATCTAATCCACCTTTTTAATTGAAGTAAATAATAGGAGCCATCGAGGACATGGATATATGCACCTAATGAGTCTCGAATGGGGTGAAATATATTCTCTGGATCCCATTTCTAGTTATCATCAATCAAATAGCTATAATTAGTGTGCACTTCCAACACACGTGCTGTCTTTATTACAGATAAGACATTTGTCATCAAATGTGCAAACTGTTTTGATAACCCTCTAACTAATTCATGAAATGAATTGTACATATTCTTCAAGAAGTTATAATAGGGAGTTGTGTTAATTGCTAAGCAGAGATACAGATGAGGAGTGTCCATTGATTTCAAGTACTACTATTTCTATTGTACCATAAACGGACTGGACATTTGACTAGAATATAATATTTGCTTGTGAAGACCTTGAACAGCCAGTTTTATTGTAGCATATACTGCAGGGTTCACGTTGTTAGAGCATCCTAAAACATATAGCAACATCTCTCTCCATAGCAAATGACGCCCTTGATATAAGAATAGAACTTGGGCACTGTGGTAGACTATAATTCCATTATACAGAAGATTTATTCTCATAAAGTTTCACACTGTTATACAGTAATATTTACTAATGACGTTTCAAGCGAAATTTATCGCTCATAATAATATAAAGTTACCCACACAACGAGGCATTACAGTTATACCAATATAAAAAGGGATCATGTGAGACTCTACCTAGGATTCCTAACAAAGCAGGAATTAAGGTGGCATTTAAACCCATAAATTCAGACAGTTATGTAGGTTAGAGGACCCTGTTAACCCTATTGGATAAAACAATATTATTATTATTGTTCCCTTGGGTTCTGGATTCAACTGCACGTCTCCAGCTGCTTCTGTCTTCTGCTGTACCTTTTACCTGCATCCATATTAGTCCTTACTGTTTCAAGTCCTCTTCACACGATCTTCTCCATGTCACCCTTGCACAGACGTCCCACTCGGTGCTTCCCTTTCGGCCTGGTTCCACTTGAGCAATGGCCTGACACGCGATGTCACCCAGCGGCCTCCTCAGCGAGCGAGTGTTCAATCAATCTCAATCCACTTTCTCCTGCATATTTGTTGGGCGATTGGTTCTTGTTTTGTTTCTTCCCATAGTTTCTTGTTGGTGATTGTTTCCGGCCATCTGATCTTCAGTATAGAGCGGAGACAGTTGTTGATGAAGGTCTGAAACAGGCTGTTGGAAATATTCTTTTTGACCCACCAAGTTTCTGATCCGTATAGAAGAACTGACTGACTTGACGTTTATACTGAAAATCCGACCGAATTTTGCTCTTGATGCTGAGTGACGAAGATTTCCAGATTGGTTT